TTTTTTTTTTTTTTTTTTTTTTGAGACGGAGTTTCGCTCTTGTTACCCAGGCTGGAGTGCAATGGCGCGATCTCGGCTCACCGCAACCTCCGCCTCCTGGGTTCAGGCAATTCTCCTGCCTCAGCCTCCTGAGTAGCTGGGATTACAGGCACGCGCCACCATGCCCAGCTGATTTTTTGTATTTTTGGTAGAGACGGGGTTTCACCGTGTTGACCAGGACGGTCTCGATCTCTTGACCTCGTGATCCACCCACCTCGGCCTCCCAAAGTGCTGGGATTACAGGCGTGAGCCACCGCGCCCGGCCATCATCACTATTCTTTAAACAAGCATAAAGAAGAAAACAAAAGCCCTGTCGCCCTGGAGGTTAGCATCGGTTATTTTTGGGGTACAGTGCTTCCTAATGTGTCCTGTGTGCTTTGTCCAAAAGTGGGATCTATCTTTGCACACTGGTTTCTGCCTTGCCTTTTTCTTTTTTTGAGACAGGGTCTTGCTGTGTTGTCCAGGCTGAAGTGCGATGGTGTGATTGGCTCACTCTAACCTGGAACTCCTAGGCTCAAGCGATTCTCTCACCTCAGCCTCTTGAGTATCTAGGACTACAGGCATGCACTTCCACACCCGACTAATTTTCTTACTTTTTTCTGGAGGTGGGGTCTTGCTATGCTGTCCAGGCTGGTCTTGAACTCCTGGGCTTAAGCAATCCTCCTGCCTCAGCCTCCCAAAATGCTGGGATTGCAGTCATGAACCACCATACCTGGCTGGCTTTTTCTTAAAGTCAGGATTATTGAGGTATAGTTAATATACAGTAAAATTCCGCCCTTTTAACTGAGAATATAGCTCTATGGATTTTGTCAAATGTATCTCACCATGACACCGCCCCTTGAGTCTTATGTCATGGACCTCCTTGCATGGCAGTGGAAATAACCAAAATACCCAACCAGGGCGGACTTTTTTTTTAAGAGAAAGGCTTTGCAAGAAAGCATTTAAGCAGTCCCCTAGGGTTGGGCATGGAGGTTGCTTTGCGACCTTCACACTGATAAACAGTGCTGGGGAACGTCCTTCTTCCTTGTGCTTGGGAGGGGCCTGATCCTCAGTGCAGTGACAGGACCTAGGTGGGCAAACATGTGCCTTTGTGCTCTCCTCCCAGACCCCAGAACCCTGCCATCTCTCTAAGCCCCTGCCCTCTCCCTCCCTCTCCTCCTGCTGTAGGGAACCGGCTGGATGAAGGCTCGGACGTGGAGTCGGAACCTGACCTCCCGTTGAAGCGCAAGCAGCGCCGCAGTCGGACCACATTCACGGCCGAGCAGCTGGAGGAGCTGGAGAAGGCCTTTGAGAGGACCCACTACCCAGACATCTACACCCGTGAGGAGCTGGCGCAGAGGACCAAGCTGACCGAGGCGCGTGTGCAGGTGAGGAGGCATCCCGGTGTTGGTGCTGCAGGTATACTCCAGAGATTCAGAAGTTCGGGATGGCCAAGGTCAGTGGCTTTAATGGGGCCCCCTCTGGGGGTCTGCACCAGGCTCAGGGGGTTGCATAGACAAGTAATGCCACCAGCAGTTAATGCAGAGTTAGGAGACCCACACCTGTAATCCCAGCATTTTGGGAGGCTGAGGCAGGTGGGTAACTTGAGGTCAGGAGTTAAGATCAGCCTGGCCAACATGGTGAGACCCCATCTCTACTAAAAATACA